CTTACGCGCGCTACCGGCTCCTAGTGCAGACTCCCGCGACATCCCGCCCAGTCTCTGTTGTCGATGCAAAAATTCAGTACGCCATGCATGCTGGGCGACATTCCCCTGCGCGGATCGCATGTACGGCCTTCGGTCATGCTTCCCGTGACACGCAGCGAGGATGGGGTCGGGCGCTGTTGCGCGTTGTCACACGGGCCTTCATCGCATTCCTGTCCCCTCGAATTGAATTTGGATGCCTTGAGAATATCCCTCTATCTTCGGTAGCACAATCTTTCACTTATCCCAGGCCTCGATTTACCTCCTGCCGCACTCAGCTGCTCACTGTCATCACCCTCGGAGGGTGTGTTACTTGATACTCCCTGGTTTGGAACACCGGTTGTGTAATCCGCGCCCATTACGATAAACCTATCTATGTCGCATTCTTCATCCTCAGAACCTTACGTAGCCGCAGACGTCACCCCTGCCCCTGTGCGCCCTCTGTGCCTACACTACCATGCGGGCATATTCGAGTTGTTGTAAGACAAGTGGTCAGCGTAGTTCAATATTAGACTCTTGCTCTTGGTACTTATCGCTTGATTGTGAATGTTACCGGCTAGTCGTTTGTGTTATGCATGTGAAGTATCCCATCCTGTTCATGTTTCACCCTTTAGTTGTTCTTTGTGTATGTGTTCCAGTGCTACCCGTAGACCTGGACCACTAGGTCGCACCCGCTGCGCATAGGTGAGTGGAGTATGCAGGTCGGGCGGGCGGAAAATACGGCCTCTACTGGCTCGCAGTTTGCGATAGTTCGTCGGCTACTGTGTACTGTCAGTGGATTATTAGTGAAGCACGTACTGTTCGAGGAATCGAAGACACATGTCATTCGAGCTACCATCCTCGTTCTGACCGCACTCTCAATAAGCCCACGAGATCCTCACCTCTACCTCATCCCTTGTCTACCACATCGTGCTTGCAAGTCAGTTCTTGTCTCCCCCTCGAACTAATTGCCTCTAACTTCCATCGATCGAGACTCAAGGCGCGTATTGCTCGCAACTCGCGGCTCAATCGTACGAGCTTATACCTCGTCTACGTCTACATCGATGAACCAATCACGGAACAGGCTGCCATTGAATACAATCTTGCGCGTACAGTACATATAATCAACACGAATGCGGCGACGAGTAGCTAATCCAGAAACTCTGATGCGGAGACCCCAATATCAAGATCATCGAGCGCGTGTCCCTTCGACACCGTGAATGACAGGTCTCCTTGGTTTGTGAATAGACCATGCACCAATGGCGTCACAGGTTTGGCGGCCACAGGTTTGGGGGCCACGATGTTCGAGTTGAGGCTATAAACACCATCGGCAGGGGTCGCTAATGCAGGGCTGCGTCTGCTGGCGGTCCCGTCGCTCACTTCACCATTGCCGCCATCGTCCTCGCCAAAGTCAACATAATCTTCACCGTCATCCCTAGCCGCATCTTGACTGTTGCCACCACCACCAGCATTGCCACTATGGCCCGCACTTCCACCATTGCCGCCACCCGTACCTCCACCGCCGACGTTGCCACCAGGCCCAGTCCTGTCGCCGTCCCCGACAATCGCATCGTGACCAGTCCGCCAGGTATCGTTCGGGTTGAACGGGATGTCGTCGGTGTTGAGTTTCCGGTTAGCCAAGAATTCGAGAGTGCTGTTGCGCACGTCGGCGAAGAAGAAGTAGAGTTTCATGTAGTCAGAGAACGTGCGAATGGGCCAAGATTCGTATCTGTAGATGTCGATCTTTTCGTTTGGTGGAGTCTACTCACATCGTCAGCGTCAGGAGAGTTCGGGCGCAGTCTGGGTGCACATACCGGCTTGGTGCGGAAGATAGTGAACGCGCGCTCCGTCACCACGCACCCCCAGATAGGCAAGTCACGAAGCCCGATGAAATAGGTGAAGCGTGCTGATGAAACGAGATCCATCAAGATCTGATTCACCGCCGTCTTGACTTGCTCCTCCCTCTTGTGTTCAACGAACCCAGCCGCGAACCCGATCATCAGAGGATCCTCCCACCAGGGATCGTTGAAAAACCAGGTCTCTTCGAGGAGTTTCACTTCATGGACCTCGAGATTGCGGTCAAGTTCGATGAAGAAGACGAGCGCCATATCCGTGCGAGGAATTCGATTCGGTCCATTCTCGGAAGGTGGAATCCAGAACTGCGCTTCGGTGCTGATATCCATGAGTGCGTATTGCGGAAAACGCTCATCAAGATCTTACCGTCCCTCACATTTGGCACCGCTTCCGGGAACAAGTTGGTGTCCAAATGTGCCAAGGGCGAAGTCCACCAAGAGATCGGTACCTGTGCGAAGACGAGCTTCGATGTCTCCACGAGCGCTTTTCACTTGACGGTACGCATCGCAAAAGTAGGCTATTGTGGACGCCACACCTTCGGGATCAGTGTCAAGGCAGTTTGCACCCACATGCGCGAGTTCGGCGAGGTACTCGTTGTACACGATGTGGAGCTTCGTGGTATCGGAGAATGGTATGATGTTCTGGAGGTGAGTGTCGGCCATCGCAACGGAACAGGAAGACAAAGGTAGACGCACGGCATGGTTCACGGTACATTGATCAAACAGAGGAAAGGTGGGCTGGCCGACTACATTCTCCACATGTATCTTCATTTCTGCATACCACATCGTAAAAGCCCTGGTTATACCGCAAAACCTATTAATGTAAGACAACTGCGATCTTCCATTATGAAGTGGGCATACTTGGAGGGTGTTCCGGGCCGAGAAACGGGGGCCTTCAGATACATGACAGGACTCTGAGGTATGGCGGGGCTTTGAGGCGTGGCGGGACTTTGAGACGTAGAAGGACTTCGAGGCGTGGATTGTTGAGACGCTAACCTGCTGATACTACTGGCTTGGGGCGAATATTTGCTGGGGGCCGGTGAGCTGCGACCTACATCCCCGGCGGTTCTCTTGCGCTTAGCTCCACGATCTCCAGTGACGGGTGCGGGGTCATCGGACTCTCCAGCGAGATCGCTGGCGGATTGAATGTGCCGTAAATTTGATGGCGTCGATGGTCTGTCGGAAAGTTTTCAGTCAGGTCGGCGAGCAAAATGAGCCTGTTGCTCGTACTGAGGAGAGCTCTGTGAGCTAGAGATTGAGCGCTGCATTGGTAAAGGTATGACGGTGGCTCAGGGCAAGACGAGAAGGATCCACTTGGACCGAGGCTCTTTTGAATGCCCTAGTCCCCACGAAGAGCTGATCCGCGAACGGGACCAATTTTGAACCCGAAAATACCATCATGGTGTACATGGAAGTCGCCCTGATTTGGCTTAGACCGAAGCGCTGAGCGCTGAAGTCCGCCGACTAGGCCGCGTCTGTTTCGTCATTCGTCAGCAAGATGCGGGTCGTTTCGAGACGGGCGTTGGCACCTTCTCGTGCCCAGCCTCGTGTGTGTACTTAGTTTTACCGAGACGGGGAGAGGTCCCGCCCGCCGTCCCCCGTGAGTTTGAGGGGGACATTCACAGAAGCAAAGCATTCCTTCTGCAGCGTCAATAGACGCTGTAAGGAGAAAGGAGCCCGAAACGGCCACGCTAGACGCGGTCACATGAGACACGCGCTAGACGCGTCGCCGAGCCTGCGCGAAAGGTGCGAGAGGCTGGCGCGAAGCCGTAAGAGCCGCGAGCTGCTACGCACGGGTGAGCCTCCAAGCGGAAAACCAGGAACGAGAGCCGGAGCCCGGAGAGAACCCCCAGCGCGTACCGCTGTGTGTCGACCGAAGAGAGAGGGAGGTGGGTGGGACGAAAAAGAGCGAGCAAACGCGACCGAGAGGAGGTCGAGGTCGCGGAAAGAGNAAAAAGAGCGAGCAAACGCGACCGAGAGGAGGTCGAGGTCGCGGAAAGAGAGATCGCGGCGTTTGCCGGAGCGCGCGGACCTGCCTCATGCTAGCAGGCCGCGCTTCTTTGATGACCGGGCTCTGGCACTTTCCGCCTAGACGCCCGATTCTCACTTCATCTTGCCTCCGCGCAAGCGGCCCTCGTTCCTCACACCACGCTGCGCTACAACATGCTGCCCAGTGATTGGGATGTCATATGCAATGACTAGCACATCCTGTCTGTGGTATGGCATGACCCTCAAGTGCTCAACGTCGGATGATCAGTACTCAGTACAAAGATGGCGTGCATATTCTTGATACAAGAGGGGCGGCATCTGCTGCCGCTTCTTGAGCCACAACACTACATTGAATATCCTATCCTTGAGAATGATCTGAGAAGAGGAATAATACTTGGACGTTGCAATGGCTCCACGATGACAAGACCAGTACACCGGGTAGGCTATACTACGTTGAGGCCAGGTCAACAGCGGCTAGAAGAACAATATCGAGCGTCAAAACACGATACATACAGAAGACCTCTCATTACGCTTCAAGACTACATCGTCATTTTGCGCCTCCTCGTGCGCCTCGACCACGCCCCCTTCCCTTTCCCCGTCCGCTGCGTCCGCCACGCCCTCCCCTCTGTGCGTGTGCACTGGGCGTTCCTGCATTCGCACGCGCCTTCCTACCGCCCTTACCTACGGCATTGCCGTTGAACGTAAACGGTGATGAGTCGTCTCCATCTCCATCTACATCGGAGTTGCCTGCAAGTGAGTCGGGGTCGGACTCCCCGCGCGCGGCCTCGGCCGCGGCCGCGTCTGCGGCCTGTTGTTTACGGCGAGTTTTCCTCTTCTTCGTACGTCTCGCGCGCCTTTCCGCTACGCCCTGCCGATACTCAACTACTTCATCGGCCGGCAGAAGCGTCTCTGCGTCGAGTGAAATGCCTTCCTCGGTGTGCACCTTCAAGAACCACTTCGCCTCCTTTCTCAACCCGGCGAACTCCTCCCGCCACTTCTCCGCTTGCGCCCTCCGAATGAACGCTTGCTTTGAAGCGTACGCCCGCATTCCGTCTTCCCAGCCATCGTCGGACGCCCAGATCCGCTCATCTCCCACATCAATGGTCTCTCCAACGACTCGGCGCGAGTCCCATATTCGCGCGATAGATTCGTTGAAATCCAGCACGCGTTGCATCTCGGTGTCCACAAGGCGCACTTCATGCACCCAGTGCTGAGAGCGCGCGTGAGACTTGGCATATTCTGACATGAGCTCTGTGCAGTACATAGTGAGCTCTAGTCCGGTGCGTGCTGCTGATCAATACACACCTCCAATAATGTCGCCGCTGGATTCCGCCCGATTGTACCATATCCAAGGCAAGGTATATTCCGTCTCGCCGGAGTGCACCGCCTCATACTTCCCATCAAGGAAAGCCTGCACATTTTCCTCTGTCATCTTCTCCATCTGCTCGATGAGCCTATCGCCCAGACAGCGACAATCAGCGTCTTCTAGCTTGCGCATGATCTTCTCCCAATCCCCTCCGCCAACCAAAGCAAAGTACGCCTCACGGTGACGCCTATATGCGTTCGAGGCCCTCCGGATATTGTCATTCACCGAGATCTGAGCTGTCAGCGCACGAGTACCCGCTCGCTGTCCCGTAGGTCCAGCTATCCTGTGCTTATGCATGCATCCTTTCAGGCGCAGATGATGCAAGAGATTATCGAGCTCATCCTTCATGGCCTCCCACCGAAGCGTGGACTCTACCGCTTTGTCGGTGGAGGATACAGCAGAGGGTTTGTTGAGAGGGGGTGCAGAGGGCAAGCAAAGCGGAACAGTCATGGCCGTCCTGCGGTCCGGCTCGCGATCGTCAGGAGAAAGCGCGGCGAAGATCAACGGCATAGTATTCTCCTGCGCAGACCTGAATTTCATGATCATCCGCGCCAGATTGTTCAGAGATCGCGTCCGAGTAGTTCTCTGATCAATCGTCCCGTCGTCATCATTGTCGTCAGCGTGATTAGAGGCTAGACGTTGCCTGCGCGACTGATTAGTGGACCCGTCACGTGTAGGAGCGACATGTAGTTCACCTTTCGTCTTCAATCTTCATGCCATCCAGAATGCAGTCTGCCAGCTCGGCCTCCTCCACCGATTCAAAATGCGCCCCCTCGCATGTAGCTCCGCCTTTCGCCTGCTCCGTCTCTAACCTAATTTGAGCGATCGCTTTCCCTATTGTCGCAAGAGTATCAGCTGCGGAACGAATCCTATGAACAGCGAGACGCTTACCTTTGCTCTCAGCGTAGTAAGGGCAATCCGCGTCGGGCAGTTTGGTGTTGTCGGAGGCTTGCCAGGTCGCAATACGCGCTTGTTCTCGTGAGACCTGTTCTGGGTGGGATGCTCGCAACGCCTCGTCAAATGCCGTGTGGGTTTCCGTCTGCTTATCTCCTTCGTCGAGCGCACGTTCCATGCGTTCGCATAGAGAGGACCCTGTCCGGCGATCAACACCACTGCATCTCCGCTTCCGAGACATTGACATGCTCACCTATGCAACACGTCTTTAACCAGTTCCAAGCGCCGAACATATCGTCCATCGTGTCATGATACCCGCCCGGACCCATCTCCCGTAGACTGGATACAGCTGCGTTAAGGGCCGACCAAACACGTTCTGGTGCTTCGCCATCTGTAATGGCCGACCCAAACAGCCACCCGAGTGCATATCGAAGCTGGCAGTATGCCTTGTGGGCGTACAGGTGGAACTTAGGTACGACGTAGGTGATGAGACCCGTCTCGTAGAACTTCGCAAAGGCCTGCGCACCCGCCCAGATAACGCTCGCAGGGCGGATTCCAGCCAAGCGAGCGGGGAGATTGATGGCGTACTGGCAAGCGACGTCGTAGGATATCGTGACCGCGGCGGCCCGAACGAATGACAGAGCGCCGCAAAGTACCCAGTCCATAGTTTCGTATCTGTGAGCGTACTGCGTGAGATGCTTGTTTGGATGGTCTGTAAACAGTGCAAGTACCCACCGTTCTCCTTTGCGTAATGGCGCGACACCGAGAGGCGGGAGCACCTCATGCCGCGCGCATACAGCAGCAGCCACTCCTGTTGTGCGCTGACCATTCCCGCCTCTCGTATTAGCCATCTCGAGCGCAGAGAACTTTGAGCAAGTCGACTGTCCAGGCAGATGCTATGAGTCCCGTGGGATGACGCATATGTAGTAGCCTCACCTTTTGAGCCAGTTCTTGATTCGTGTTTAGAAGGTGCTCCGCATAATCTAGCCAAGGTGCCAAGTAAGCCCTTCCGTCGGTGAGATTGGGATCCGTCTCTGTCGTCGACTCGTTGAATTTGTTCGAGAGTCGGAAGTTTGCGTCCAGACCGTAGGTTACTCGACAGAGCCACCTGTGAAGCTTGAGTGGCGCTCAGAACTATAAGTGGCAGACAGACTTGACTGGCTTTAAGAACCATTCCTTCGCTACGTTCAAGTCGAAATTCGGGCACGCAGGGCATATGACCGCACATGCTCCCGCAGGCGTTCCGGCGATCCCACCCGCTTCATGTCCCCGACCGGCTCTCTTGAACATCATGATGTGGCGAAACTGTCGCACGCAGTCGGTAAGCTGCTGTCTAACGTTCTGCGCATCGAATGTCAGTCGGGCAAAGACGAAATAAGAGCCTAACATACCGCGACTCCACGAATCATTGCACCATCTGTGGCTGCCTCAAGCGCCCGGTAATAGTCGTAAACGTTCAGGCGTCCCATTGCCGAAAGCCGCGTGAAGAGATCCAGAGCCTCGAATGTCGTCGCCGTTTGAGGATTTACACATGTCGCAGGCCATAGACGCCATCTTAATAGTTGTATATGGTACGGAACGTCCTTCCCTAGTTCGCATTGACAGAAATCGACAGGAATCGTATGAATACCGTTTGTGTGGACGATGGTAAACTTGTCGACAGCGTGTAGGGAACGAAAGTTGCAGGTGTCGCCAGGTCGATGCAAAAGCTGTATACGGAAGCCAAGGTCTGATCCGGTCACCGGCTCATAGAACTCCCCGTTGAAGCGCTGCCAGATGTTCAAAGTCAGAATGTTACACGCAGAGATATCCGTCACGCGTGCCTCGATTTTGTGCAGAGGGTTGTACCGGTGCCAGTGCGCAATGCACTCTCTACAGAGGTCAGCGCCTCGGCAATCTTGGCAGCGATGATCTGGAAAGCCCTCCGCCCTACAGCCGGGACACTCTTTGAGACCTAATGCTTCGGCTCTACCGTCTAGCCGGATGCATTCGCGCAGAAAAAACTCTCTCCATCCGAATTTCCAGCGAGTGATTGGGCAGTCCTGTGAGAGGTGAGTATAAAGACGATAATTTGGAGAGGCGACAATACATTCCACAACTTCCGGACACGCTGAGACACGGATATCTTCTCTGGCTTATCCACC